AGTTGGAATTTTTTTTTTTTTTTTTTTTGGTACCAGGGATCGAACTTCAGCCCTTGCACTTGTGAGGCAGGCACTGGAACCACTGAGCTAAATCGCCCGCTCTGGAAGTTTTTAAACTGTGGATGTTACGTAAACTTGACACTTTCTATCCTCACAATGCTCTTGACCACATTCCCAAGATGCATTGCATAATAGGGGGGTTTTGAAGAGGAGGAAGAACACTTCTGTCCTTTGACTTAGAATTTAGTGGACACTGTGTAAGTTTGCTATAGCTGCTGTAACAAAGCACCACAAGTCAGATGGCTTAAATAGAAATTTGATGTTTTACAGCTCTGGAAACAAGAAATCAGAGATTGCGAAGTTGGCAGGGCTGCTGCGTTCTGGGGGCTGAAAGGGAGGATCTGTTCCGGGCCTTGGCCTGGCTGCAGGTGGCCTCAGGCACTCCCCGGCATGTAGATGGCATCCTCTTTGTATCTTTACAGGGTCTTCTCTGTGTATGTCCAAGTTTTCCCTTTTTATAGGGACACCTGCCATCCTGGATTAGAGGCTACGCTAACAACCTCAATAAGGACTATCCCAAATACAGCTGCAAGAGAGACTCCACCCATAAAAGGCACTAAAGAAATTTTAATGTGCACCTCACCAACACTGTAAAGGCGAGCCATGTGATGTCAAGGTCTTTGAGAAGCAAAGGGAAGAAGAGCAGAAAATACTCAGGCCACACTCGAGGATGCAGTTCCAAGGGGCTGGCAGCTGAGCTCACTCATGTGCCAGCTATCCAGTCTTTCCTTTCAAGCAGTACCCTGAGTCTTTGCAGGACAAGCTGTGCTCACGAAAAGGTCACATTCCTAGGCTCTTTGGGGGCTGGCTCTCACGCACCTGAGCTCTGCTTGATGAGGGAGAAGCAGGTGCTGTGTGGGACAGCAGGACAGTTGCTCAGGGCACATGGCTGGGACAGGAGCCCTCCCTTCCTTCTCTTCCTCCTTGCTACCTGTATCACAAACAAGTGAACTGAGGCTCTGGCTGCCATGCTGGACCAGTAGGGGACTTTGAACACTGAAATCACATACTATGTGGGACAGAAAGCTAGAAAAAGAAACCAGGCAGATAAATCCTGGAGAAAACCATGGCATCCCCCAATGCAGACAAGAAACGTATACCATCTGGACTTCTTGGGCTGGAAAAACTAATTTCTGTTTTGTTTAAACCACTGCTGTTTTGGGTTTTCTATTAACACGCAGCTAAAACTAATCCTTCGTGTTCTAAATTAAACAGGAGCCCTTGAGTGCCAAAACTGCTTGGGAAACTTCAGCAACATTTTACCCTCTCTAATGACAAAGGTTTCCACAATCTGATGCCTTAAGTGCACCAAGAACGCTGAGGACCCTGGCAATCATTTTTTTCCCCTGTGCACAAATTGCTAGAAACAAGGACAGGGGGCACGTCACTGTGCCAATCTGTCGGTCTGTGCTGCCTCACATGCAGCTGATGAACTGCCCGCACGTTATCACCTCCACAGCCTAGACGAGGGAAGGCCCTCGACCTTCCTTCTCAGCTCCAGAACTGCAGAAATAATCACTGGCGAAGCGCAGAGATTCTTAGGAAAAGGGTAGCACCAAGTTGCTGCACCTGGCCGTGTGTTGGTGGGTGTATAGTTCCGGGCTCACGTGGAGACGGTTGTTTCCTTCTTATTAACATTGGGCGTGGAATCCTGTTATCTGACTTGGGAGTCTGTCTTTGCCTACTTCTGGACAGACCACAGAGGAAAATGCTCTGATCTATTAAAAGAACGTGTGATTACATAGACTTTAAAATGCTATTTGCTCAAAATGACTTAATGTCAGGATGACTGCAATAGCTTCATAATAAATACTTGAAAAAGATGGATGGCTTTCATCTGAGAAATACAGTGTTTCAAAGCAAACCAGTTTTATTATTTATTTATTATTATTATTATTACAGTGCTCTGTTGCTCATGGAACTCACCTGAATTCTGATGGATACTGTTTGACAAGCCAGTCCACGTCAAAGCAGTAGTTAAACTAGATGGGGGAAAAGAAAAGTAACTAAGCCACAGGTTACGCAGCCAAGTCGTTCAGAAGAACCATTTATTAAACTGAAAGAAATTCTACAATAATGCACTACATATATAATTTATAAACCTGTATGGCTATGCTGCAATACTCATAAATAAACCTACATTTTATCTTAAAGAAATACATGGTCAAAGGATTGCAGCTAAATGTACAAAAAAAAAAAAAAGGTTCTAAGTAAATTATCTCCACATGGTTCAGCAGCATTTGTTCTTGTCAACAGGGTATCGCTACATTATTTCTAACGGCCCTGCTATTAATTTAAATAAAGGGGCTTATACATGTATCCCTTTTCTTTTAAATGATTATAAAATGATAGATTCTGGGTAAAAGATCCCAGAACTTTTAGAAAAGGATATTTCCTTTCAACCCAACTGATTAGCTGAGTACACACATATTTGACTCTGGGCACTCACTAGGCTGTTAACGGTCTCATACTGAACACAAGTTGGTCTTACCCACGGACCTTCTCATGCCTGGGGCTATCCTGGACATAGGAGCCCAGTCTAGCTGGGAGTACTCACAGGTGCACCCCAATCCATCTGGAGACCAGGACTCCCAAGGCCAAACCAAATACAAAGGGCACAGGGAGCTTGGCTTGCTTGAGGGACACGGCCCTCTCTTCTGATTATTCCGTGGCACTGTTAATGTGATTTGTCAACTGGAAGGGACCAGCTCATTCAGGTAAGAGCCATGGAACATACAAGAACCTATAACTTCTACTCATGCCTTTCTGGATGGTGTAGGGCATCGCATACTTTTTAAAAGTCAAATCAAACTTGCCTTCACCACTTTATCCACCCCTCCGCAGGGGTCAGCACAACAGTCCTAAAGGATCATCAGTGTTCCAAGTGACTTCTTGGTTGGTCTTCGTGGTCTGATCAAGAGTCAGGCACCTTTACCAATAGTGACATCGACATTCCATGCCCCGTGAGCCTACAACTGTGGCACCTGGTGCGTCTCTAGCTAGGCACAATCTGTCTCGGGGACTCTGCACTGCACTGAGACACATCCTCACCTCTCATACTTTCTTATAAAATTGTTTAATAATTTGTTTTCACCTGAGTAAAAAACAGCATACCCATAAAACTCACCTGAGCTGAGGAAACAAGTGTCCCAAATAGAGGAGATAAAATATCTACAAAGAAGAAACACAATTCACACTCAGACCAAAGTCCTGCAGTCATAACAATCACAACTAACTTACTGAATAGTTACCAACCATTGAGACTTGGCTCAGAAAACAATAAAGCGAAGACTATCACAAAGCTAGGCTTTAATGTTTCAGAAAATCTAAGAAAAACTTTCCCTGTGGTAATGTTTAATTATACATTCTTTTATAAAGCACAATGCAAAACTAAAATCCACAGCTTCAGTACTGGGTGACTGTCAACACCAGTGGTCATGATACCTCTTCTTTCCAGATCTCTGAATCCTTACCTCCTTCAGGTACCCGTTTGCCACCCCAGTGCCTCTCTGGCGTCTTTGAGCCCTTGATTCCCACAGTTCTAAACTCACACCCCTGGAGTTCCTGGTCACTGCTAAGGAGATCCCATTTGGCACCGACACTTTACATTAGACCAGAACATTTCCTGCTCGTGAGTGACACAAGTTAGCCCTTGGTCATCTCCACCTTCAATCCTATCTGCTGTACGTGTGCAGGACGTGTAGGTGCCCAGCACTACCCACATATTAGCTCTTACTCCTCCCAGTGGACAAGTCTCCTTTGGAAGCTGCATAAGACCACACAGCCGGAAGGGGCAGAGTCCAAGCTGGATCTAGGATGTCCGGTTCCAGCTTGCTCTTACCAGCTACACTGCCTCTGAGGATGAAGAGTAGGGGCTCCTTTACCTAGTTTACAGGTATTCACTGAGTGCTTCCTGTCTCCTAGGCATTGAGATAGATGCTGGGGTACGAAGATTTTAAAATAACAAGCAAATGCTTCTAGGGAAGTTCTTACCTTATCAAGAGGTAAACTGCCATACATTGTTCCATTTGGCCCCCACCAGCATCTCTACCTGTGCCAGTTCCACCCTCTTTCAAGGACCATCTGATGTCCCCCTTCTGCTGAGTCATCTTCTAGACAACCCACAATTATGGTGTATGTTAATGTGGTGTCTCAAACAGCACGGTTTTGGATGCTGTATGCCCGATTCAAGTCGAAGCTGTACCACTGACCAGCTGTGACCTTGGGCAGTGTATTTAACTTTTCTAAACTGCAGCTCTGTCACTCATACAAGGAGGACAACTGGAACATCTACTCATAAAGCTGCTTCAAGGATTAAAGTCTGGGTGAAAGCTTTTCATGCTATCTCCCTTCCTGAACAGCTTGTGCTCAGAACATCTTTATCACTTTATTTCATACAACCAAACTTTGCAGAGTTCTCTTATTTCCTGTGCTAATCTCTCTTAAAACAAACAAAAAAACCCTGACAACTGTCATGGTCCTTCAAAGTACCTATTAGGTAAGAAACTCTCAAAGTGAAAAACTACAGAACTCAACTTGCTACGGTACAGGATTGAATGCACCAACATTTATATATCACGCAGAAGAAATAAAACGCACAATTATATATCTTATATACAGAAATACTGTTGACAGAAGACAACGTACTCTTGAATACCAGCCAGAAGAAAAGCTCATCTGAGAGAAGGCTAGTAATATTTACTGTGTGTTTCTGCCATGTGAATATACCGTGCTGGTACGTCCCATCCTGGCTCCTGTTTTTCTGAATCCCCAAGCTGAAGGGGTGCGCGTGGCTATCTGGAGGTCAGGTCTCGTGTAGTAAGAGAGCAAATGAATAGCGAGCCTGCCAATCTGTGCCTTTGACTCTCAATCAAGCTCCTGCTACTGCCCCCTGGGAATAGTGAAGCCCATGAGGGAGGGTTGTTGTAGCTCAGGCCAGGCTTTTCACCTGGATTTACAGGGAGAACACTCTCGGTGTCACTCTACAACTCCTGGTCGCCCTGCATCCTTACCTTTGATGTGGAGGGCTTTGGAGTTGTATTTCGGCTTGATTCCCGAGACTCTGGTGAGGTAGAACTGGAAAGGGTTCCCTTTATCCAACATGTCCCAAATATCCTGGCCTTCCCCTGACGTCTCACACTCGTCTTCCTCCTCTTGGAGCCCGTAGTGGGCAGGAGAGCCGTGATTTCCAGTTCTCTGAGCAGCACCATCTTTGGGAGTGGGGATATCTTTTTCCTCTTTGACCACTGCGGGCTCAGCCTGCGTTTGCCGCATGTGCGGTTCGCGCTCATCGTCGCTGCTGGAGAGACACCAGCCGAGGTCTTCCTGGGAACTACTTCTCTGCTTTTTGGAAGGTGAAACCGAATCTGCGTGGCCGAATTTCACCGGTGAGATCTGCCTCTTGTGTGCAGCTTTCCGAGCCTCGGAGCAGGTGTAGCTCAGCTCCTTTGCTGCTCCCTGCCCAGCACGGGGGATGGAAGAGGTAGAGGGCTTGTCTGGTTTGGGCTTTTCATCCTCACTGTCACTACTGGATATTGTCCACCGCCCATAACTGCCTTCCTGAGACATTGCGCTTCTGCAAAGGAAAGGCAGAAACATTATTTCCCGTTCCCTAGGACATTGGTGAAATCACCTGATGGTTCTCGAATTCCCTTCAGATGAACTTCTCCCACACACAGCCTTCGGACAAGAGACCGAGCCCTGTAACTGTTATCAGAATCTACAAGAAGTTGAAAAATTACCAGCAAAATATCAGAAACCAGAGGAGAACTGAGGCCTAATTGGCCGCCCCTGTGAGCACAAGGGAGAAAGGCTGCACTCTGGGTTGACTGCCTAATAGGTAAAGGTTAAGTTGTTTAGCTGAGCACGTACTAATGGATACTGGAAAGCAGATGAATCTTGTGTTACTGTGATTGCTTGTGCCGTTTGCGTGAATGAAGGGGAGATGACCAAGAGGCGAGGACTCCTCTGCCTACTAGAGGTGAGCGCCCCCTGACGCCCACATGTTGAACGGACGCCTCATCATGTTCACCCCTGGGTCAGCGGGTCTAGGACCCCCAGCGTGGCGCCTGGAGCAGGAGGGACCTGAGATCCGCGGCCAGTCCAAAGGGTTGGCTACGGCAAAAATCTTGGTGACTGTATCAGTCCTCATTTTTGTCTTTCCAAAGGAATCCTGTTCTCTTAGATGCCCCAGGAAAGGCAGCTGGAGCCAACTGCGAAAACAGAACAAAACGTTTACCCTTAACTCTGGCACTTGTAACAGGTGCTTGGGTTTAAAGTCATTTTCAAGAGTAGTTCTACGTTCAGATGTTTAAGGTCAAATTGGAACTTTTAGCTCTTTTACTTGTTAGACACTCGCAGGACTTCAGTGATGAGGTTAGTCTCACTCCTAAGCTTAGCAAGGCCCTCAGAAGCTGTGTCCTCTCTCTAGGGATCGTCAGTGGCCGGTGTCCCTGTCAGAGAAGACCGGGAGCCCTGACTCACCCCACCCAGGGGACAGGTCGCAGGTCCGCTGACATCCATCACAGAAAAAGAATTTCAGGATGTGTCCAGAAGAGGCATAAGGAAATGAGGCAAAATTTTAAAAATACACAAAGAAATAGAGTGGAGGGAGAGGGACACAGAGACAGAGAGACAGACAGAGAGAGAGAGAGAAAGAGAGAAAGTTTATGGTCTTAACCTTGTATATTTATGGGGAGGTTGGGGAGTGGGAATTTGTAGAACTTGTGAGTCTATAAAAAGAGTAGACTCAAATTACAGGTAAAAGGTGACAGCCTTCTGCTGGGAAGTGTGAGGGCCCATTCTGGGTGATGCCCAGGTGAATAAAAGGCCCATTTACAGGGCAAAGGCAGTGTGGCCCAGGTTTACTGTATCTTTAAGGACCTTAGTAATTTTTTGACTGGGTTTGTTTCCTGAATCTGCAGGGTTTTTAAAAAAAAATTAAAAGTACAATTTTAAAATTACAGTTTTTGCTATTTTCTTGCTATCTTATTTTTCCTTTCCTGCTTTAGTACTTCCATGAGGACTAATGTGAGAAAATTCAGTCTATATCATAAATTAAGCTATGAAAACCTGCAGAGAAAGACTTGTGGTGGCCACGTGTGGTGGTGCAAGCCTACAATCCCAACATTTTTGGAAGGCAGATGCAGGACGATTACCAAGTTTGAAGGAATCTGTCTCAAAGTTGGAGGGGGGGCTTGGGATGCAGCTCAGCACAAAGGCCCTGGGTTCAATCCAATCCCCTTTCCTCCAAAAGATTAATAACCTGTTAGGAAAAAAGTGGAGGAAAGGGAGCTCCACAGTAGAGTACAGGCTTTATTGGGATTAAAACCTGAGAGGGAGGGTGAGTACGCCAAGACCAGAGAAGTGGCCCTCTTACAGGCTGGGGATTTTTGTGAGGCTTGTAGGAGGAAATGGTGGCTATCTTGAGAGGAAGTTGCATTTTTGAAACCTGTGATCACTAAACTGTGGTGCCTACATGTTTTCCTGTGACTGCTGGGGCCCATCATTTTAAAAGGGCCCATAAATCTTAAGGAAAATTACAAAAGTCTGTGCTATAGTATATTATATAGATAGTATATATCACATACATATTTTGGTTTTCTGAGATAGTGTCTCGCTTTGTAGTGCAGGCTGGCCTTGAACTATGTGGTCTAGACTGGCCTTAAACTCATGGTCATCCTTCTGCCTCAGCCTCCTGCGTGCTGGGATTACAGGTGTGTGCTACCATGCCCCACTTCACCATATTTTTAATCACACTGTGGGTAATACCACAAATTGTTCCTATGATTATAACTTCAAGATATAGCAACCTTAATTTATATGTAATTTCCTTACTCTAAAAAAGAACAGACTCTGAAAACCTTCAGTCCTGTATACCTTCCTTTGTGGTGAAGGAAGGAGCCAAAGACACTCCAAACATACACAACTCTAAGTGTTTTACAATAGAACCTAAAACAGTGGAAAATGGAAATTTAAATTTAGGTAAATATTGTATGTTTAATAGTTAGCTCTGGGTACTGTGACCTGTGTTGGTGTATTAGTAAGACAGACTCCCCCTATCCTGAGAACTCTGTAAGCAAAGTCTTTAGTGATTGTGAACTTAAGTTTTCAATTTTATCTATATTTTTTAGAACCATAGGCGGGGGTGGGCTTCCTGCCAACAAAGTAAGACAATAAAACAAAGGCTTGAAAAAGGCATTTCCTTTTCTGGACAAAGCCCCTTTTCTGGTTCCACTGGATTCATAGTTTAAGCTTGGAGCCTGCTGACACTGAAAAATCTGCTGGACAGTTTTTTAGCTAAATCAAAGAACTCTTGCAAATACACTAATAAAATTGTGCCTCATCATTAAGTCTAGCAGGTTACAATTTTTTTTTTTTTTTTTTTTTTTTTTTTTGAGGCAGGGTCTAAGTATTCCAGGATGGCCTTGAACTGTGTAGCCCAGGATGGCCTGGAACTCAGCCTCCCAAGCGCTGGGATCACAGGCTTGCCCCACCAAGCCTAGCCAAGGCAATCAAGGCTTGTCTGTGGAAGAGGAGCTGCTGGTAAGGGTCAAGATCAATCCAGAACTGACTGGCTGTGGAGAACTGGATGTGGTCACCAGCATCCGAATTCTACTTCCTTCTCAGGATCGGGTTCCCAACAGGCCAGAGAGCTTTCATGATTGATGCGCAGAGTTTGCCAAGTGTCGATCTCAAGAGTTTTCCTTTCATGGCTTACGGTCTCCTGGACAGCCACATTTTTAGTTCGGTGCGTTGACAATGAGCTGACAGTGAGCATGTTACAGTACAAGTGGGCAGCCTAGTGTTTCCCACATGCAGGTGCCTGCAATCTGATACTTATTAACGTCACACTATGAAAATAAACTCCCTTTCCCATTTCAGTCCACTCTGCTTAAATCGAGGAGAAAGCTGTGGTGGTGTAGAGACGCTTTTAATCTTGTTTTTGAGCAAACAGCAGGCTGCTTCTGCAAGCATCAATAACACTTTTGTTTACTGTCAGCAGAAGGTAGCTTGTGGCTTCACTAGTTAGAACAGCAAAATAAAATGTATTTTTAAAAGGCCATATTTATGTAAAGTGACAGCGTTTAAGTAAATGTTAAGTAGACAGCGGCATATGTGTTAAGAGAATAAAACAAAAACTGGGGCGGAAGCAGGTGAGTGAATGAAATTTGGCAAATACTGTGTGAAGGTGAAATTCTAATTCTACCAAATGCCAACTCAGAGTACTGTCAGAGCTTTTATTAAGGACTTCCAAAAAATGCTGTCTCCAAATAAAAAATAAAAAGAAAAGGGGCTGGGAATGTAGCTCAGGGCCACTGGATTTGATCTTCAGTTCCACAAACCAAAACCGTACTACATTTAGATCTCCAAGTGCTTCTTCTCCCCACACCTTACCCCACGTAGCTGAAACAAAGTTGACCCCCCTCCAGTTGTTCCTTCTCTGAGCTTGCAGACCATCAGGTGGGTTTGGGTGCCATGCTGATGCAACTGTTCGGCCTTAAGACTCCTCATCTGTAAAATGGGGAGCATACTCATCTCCCAGGCTTCCTCCTCAACACATATTTATTGAGTAGCTACTAGGTATTAAGTGCTGGACAGGGAGTAATAAGGGGAGTACCTATGCCCAATTTCCCTTGTCAGACTATTACGTTTAATTCTGTGGGGGATGGTTTCAAGAGGGATGAAAGCGTCAGAGAGAAGGCTCCTGCAGGGGCTGCGAGGGTGCGAAAGGCAGAGAGCAAGGGGTGAGGCGGGCTGATTTAGGGGTACGCCGAGGAAGGGCGTGTCCGCTGGCAACTCTTCTGTGTACTCACTCGGGTCAGGAGCTTTTCCGGGTGCAAACTCAATGCACGCGCGTAACGGGACACTAGGGACCACGACGGTCCCTTTGGGGATAAATTGGGCACAGAAAGGTTAAGAGTCTGGCTAGGGTGAGCGCTCAAAATGAGATATTGCGACTGGCGGTGCGAGAAGATCCCCTCCTAAGCCGAGCTCCAAGCCCTGCGCCCCACACTCCGGGGCGGAGACCCGTCGGCGCACCGCCTAAAAGACGCGATCATTGCCGGGAACCGAGGCCCGGGATAGAGAGGACCCCGTCCAGTACCTCCCCACCCCCACCCCAGGCTGCATTCCGCTCTCGCTGTCCAGTTCCATCCTAGCAGGCCATCCACGGACCCGCCGGCTCCAGTGCCCAGCGCCCCGTGATCACCGCAGTCTTGAGGACACCACGCCGGTCCGGCACCCGCACTCACCCGAGCTCGCAGAGTCCTCCGCAGCACGGATCGCGCCCGGCGCCGCCTACGCGCCTGCGCACCGTTCAAACCCTCCGGCCGCATCCCGCGCCGCTTCCGCTCCGCAGAAGCCGACTTCTAGGTCCTAAAGCCCGCCCGTCCAGAGTGACGCCTGAGTGCGTTCCCTGGGGGGCGCGGACGGAGTGGGAGGTCTAAGGTCACCTCTTGGCGACTTCTAAAAAAGGAAGAGACAGGAAGGTCTTCTCTAGCTTTTCTCTCAGTTAATTAGCAAAACTCGAGCCCCTTTATGTGGATTGCAGGGACAGCTTCAGGCTCCCAGGAAGCCCCAGGCTGGTGGAGAATGAGTTTCGGACTTGGGGGGAGATCTGCGTTTTGGAGCACGGATTTTAATCCTGCTGTGAAGTAAAATGTTAAACGACATCCTGCCAGACTCAGAGCCTCGAATGTCTGTTTCTTCCTTGAAACAGGTGTGTGTGTGTGTGTGTGTGTGTGTGTGTGTGTGTGTGTGTGTTAATTTTACCTCGTTGCCAAAAGAATAGAGGGGTCTGAGATAAAACCCTCTGGAAAGCGAACTCTTCCATGTTATTCTCTTCTAATGCGGATTATGCGATGGAATTTGGGCCTCACGCTGTTTATGCTATGTATTTCTTTCTGGCTTCTCCCTCCAGCCAGACAGCACGTCCAGAGCGCGGAGTTTCGGTGTACGTCTGTATAAGCATCCTGACAGCTCCTTTCATTTGCTTATTGCAGGTCTCTTTTGTGGAAGACACTGCGCTACTTGTTGAGGTTTTCTGGAGGACAAAACACTCTTTAAACTGGGAAAAACAAACAACAAATGTAGTAGCTAGATCCCAATGATTCCCTGATTTAAACAAGAATCCTGAACTTGGCTCGACTTGTTTGGTTCTTTTTGCTTCTGTTTTCACTCCTCTTCTGTCTCTCGAGATGTCTAGCCTAGCCGTGGATCAAAATAATCTAAAGAAATTAACTGTAAATTTGGTAGGGTGAATCTGAACCAAGAGGTGTAGGAGAAGCCAGTAGATGCTCTGAGTATCCCGCGGTGCGCAAAGAGTTAAAGGACTGTAGGCAGGGGGCGGAGCCGAGTGCTGGAGGCGGTCTTGGAACTGCCGTCATAGACTGGTCCACAGCAACGTTGTTAAACAAAGCTGCTGGCCAATAATACTGCAGGATCAACACCAGTGGCTCGCAGGCTGTCCAATGGGAGCAGATGTTGGAGTTGCGCGGCAGTTCAGCTTCCTGAGGCGCAGTGGGCGTGGTCACGGAAGGCTAGAGCTGTTCCCCTGTGTAGAATTAGGGGTGGAGGTTTCTATGGCTCTCTCTGAAGCTGGGGCCCGGCCGCGGACGTGGGACGCCAGCCCCTCGGAGCACAGGAAGTGGGTGGAAGTAGGTGTCCGGAGGGCGACTGTGAA